CATCTTTACTGGTGATCATAAGCACTTCTATATCAACACTAGACCTGGATGAAAGGATGTCATCCTGTTATTGTAAATCCAAAGCTATGCTTCTAAAAGCCTCCGTCACTTTGCTTTCTTTCCACCAGAGCCTGACTTTTCCTACCTGGATGCTCTGGCTCCCTACCAGCCACTGGCTATGAAGTGCGTTTACTGTCCCATTGACACACGGCTCAACTTCCACCAAGTATCAAAGCTGCTCAAAGAAGTGCAGGTACGGCCAACACTCATTTGTCGTGGGACCATTCATAAATATGGTGAATGTACTGTAAGCACTTTTTCTCTACCAGTTACAGGGCGTTGTAAGAGTAATATTGAGCAGAAGTAAGCCGTCAAATGTATTACACTTCCATGAAATAATTTCATAAGCATGAGTTTACACAAGGAAGCAGGGAGTTTGACAATTGGCAAATAGAGCGTGATAATGACTGGAAAACTATCAACGTGTTTAATGCAGAAATGACTGCCTCATGGGTTTTTTTGTTTACACACAACACTGGGAAGAGGAGAGTTGTGCAACAAGCAAATAATCAGTCAGTAGCAGTCCTGTGGGTGAGACTGGAGAATGGGAACAATTGTACGAGCTAAAAGGCAAGGCACAAACAAGATAACAGAACAAAATGAGCATTCAGGGCAGAGCAGGAGGGAGTACGCGTCCTGGGTTCAGTATCCTGCTCAGGGACACCCCGACATGCGTCTCTTCGTTTCCTGATGTCTCCTGTCTCCCTCTTCCTGCAGCCCCTCCATGTGGTCTGTCCAGAGCAGTACACCCAGCCCCCGCTGACCCAGTCCCACCGCTCTGATCTGATGCTGGAGCTGCAGCCCCCTCCCATGCCCTACAGACGCTGCTCTGTACTCAACCTGCCCTTCAGACGCCGCTATGAACGCGTTTACATAATGCCTGAGGTGAGTCACATCAGAGCGGTAACTGACGTGTTCATGAATATATTCTTCTTCAACTTGTCTGGTTAAAAGGAACAGACTCACAGATTGATGCTGAATGAAAGATAGAAATCCGTACCTTTGGAAACAGATGGTGAGTGAGTGCACACTTCAATTCTCTCGTGTGTGGGGAGGAGAAAGTGACATATGGTGTGTAAAAAGCTGTTTGAATGAAAGAGAGAAATGTATAATGGAATTATTCCAACTCCTGTCAGAGAACAGGTGGCCAATTTTCAAGTCTGAAAGTCAGTTTCTTCTATTCCTAGCTGGCCAACTCCCTGGTGCCCTCTGAGATTAAACCTGGCATCTCTCTGGCAACTGTGTCTGCAGTGCTGCACTCCAAGGACAACAAGCACACACTGCAGGTGAGTGTGTCTGTCTTTTGAATTGATCCACGAAAATAGGAGTACTGGAATGTGCAAATATGGAGCTTAGTTTTGCTAAAAAGGTTTTTCCTCTCCCATGTTGCCAGTCGGTGCCCAAACCCCCTCCAGTGCCCCCCAGCAAGAAGAGAAAGCGGGTGATAGAGGAGCCTCCAGTAGTGCTGGCCCCCAAACCCCTGCTGAGCGGAGCGGTGCCCCTGGAAGCCTTCCTGGCTACATTGCAAAAGGTGTGAAATCTGCAGTGTTTATAAAACAGCCAGCAGTTCAAATGAATGTTTGCCCTCTTGTCATTGCCCCCTTCATTTGCTTGCATTTGTTCCCGTAGTACAGCATTCCCAAAGGAGATGATCGCAGCCTCTTCATGCATAATTCCATTGTTGGGATTAGTAGTATTTTATTGCAGGGGCCAGGGATTGTACCACAGCAGATTTACAAGATAAACAACACATACCTGCCAATGTTTCGAAAACAAATTCTAAATTCACACATTTTTGTATCCGTAGTAAAAAAAACAAACAAAAATTGAAACTCTCTCTGCTCCCCCTCTGCAGCATGGAATCACAGAGGTCAAAGTGGAGGAGACGGCAGACGGACACATTCTCCACCTGCAGGCGGAGGACACACTGATTCAGCTGGAGGAGGATGGGACACACATCGTCTGTGACAACAACGAGCCGCTGCGTACCACACTGCGAGACCTGGTGCTCCGCTTCCTGCAGAAACTCTGACCCCAATCCTCCTCATTGTTGGTTTTTTTTTTAACAGTATTTCTGCTGTATTGGACTGTGGATAGTGACAGAGGTGAGGGTGGAGGGACAGGACGAAGAGCTGTGAACAGGACTTTCCCAACCACAGTAATATTTAACATCACAATCCAGTTATATTTTGTAAGATAGTATTTTGTATTAAAAAAAGATTCATGTTAAAGGTCATCTCAGTGAGTCTCTCTTTATTGCAACCCTCTTCATTCAGGAAACTAAGATAGTAAGACGCAAGTGAAAACGCAGACATCGTTCGTCATGGGATTGGGTTTTCCAAAGAGGGAAGTGAGTGATTAATGAGTAATTCAACAGAAAAATGTCAAATCCAAGTAAGTTTCAATGGGTCACGTCTGCTAAACAATATTTACATTTCACACTATCCAATTTTATATTTCTTTTATATTTCTAAAGTGTCTAAAATGGCATTTGCAATCCCAAAATAAAATGAATCCAGATCTAATGTTAGTTTGCGACCGGCTAAAGTTTCCTGCTCTGATCATGAACCCCATGTTCTAAGTAATTGGGTACAAAATATTATCAGCTAAATCAGAATTAAATCTGAGGTTATACACACACAATAGGCCCTTTCAAAGAAGACAGTTTGACATGTCACAGCAGGAAAAGCACAATTCCATTTAGCTGCTTCAGTCTCAGGGTCCTTATATTGTACATACTGCTTCACTGTCACCACTTACAGGGACGCTTGAATCGAACAGAGCCAGCATTTATGTTAGAAGTAAAATCTGTGCTTCTACTGTGGGGTCAAAATGTCAGCTGTGAAAAAGCCTTTCAAACAGCTGGTGGATGGTGTGATGATGATGTAAAGTTTCAGATTACACCCGGAGACGTCAACATAACGGAGTCAGATACCACGAGGACGAGGAGGGAAGACGTCAACAGCTGATGGGAAGAAGACAACGCCTTACTATGACGTTTCTCACTGATGTACTATAACACACTGGTACGCATGCACAGTGATATTGCTGGGTGAATATTGCAGTCGGATTTTAACCTTTTTCAACTGTAAACCTTGATCAGCTGATTACCGTTTATGATTTTCCTGTCACTGAAGGAAAACTTTACTAGTTTGAACCTATTCTCCTATTTAATATTTTCTATACTCCTTGTTCCATTAAATCTGATATTAAAAAAAAAAACAAAAGGAAAACAAATAAACGTCCACACAAGCATGGCTTGTTGATCCGGGATCATGTGTAAATACAGTCAGTGATGAGCTCGCCTGCCCGGTCCATTCTGCCAACACCTTAATCCTGAGTTTGGGAATTCACTGCCCACGGGGGACTCGTATGTTCCCCTCCTGGTGGTTTTAATTTCTTCCGTGTCAACTCTGTCCCCCGCACCTCTGTGTAGAAAGATGGCCTGAGGTGCCGAGCTTGGGTTCACAGCGCTTCCACGCTTGCTTGCTGGTCGACAGGGAAAAAGATGTCCCCATGCATCTGGCACCTTCCCCGTGACGTCACTGCTGGTGCCACCCCTCCCTACGGGGAGACCAGAGAAGGTTCCAGGGCTGACTGGTATTTGCTGTTAGGCCCGTTAGTAGATTCTTCAAATTTTGGCTATTATTGTTACAATACAATGTGCTTTTGGAGGTAGGAAGGTGATGAGCTGACTTGCTCAAGACGGCCGCGGTTCATACTCATGTTCGCTATTGTTATCTCCTGCCAGCCCGGTGTAGTGTGTGTCGCGTACTGTTCGTTTGTCGCAACCTCCGTCGCAGACGACACCGGATTCCTCGCTTTTCTCTTTTTTTGATTGACCTCTTTTACAGCAATTTGGACAGCAATGTTTTGTTAAAAGTTTGCTTGCTTTGTCCAAGCTCATGTGTCTTTGTTGGGCATTTGTCAGCTGAGAAAAGTGGGTTTTTATTATTTATATTGAAGGGGTGGGCAGTTCTATTGCTCGGTTTGTTGGGTTTTCCTGGCCCCCGTTTGTTCCTATCCGAATTTGTTGCTCTGCACGTCCAGTTGGTTTATCACGCCACATGGTCAATGAGGTACACTTATGAGTATTGGTCCTACTTGCGCGAGCGCATACTTTTACATGGTATTTTAGCTGCATGTACTGGCTTAAGTATTTGTGGACAAACAATCCAAGCGACTGGAGTTTCTTTTTTTGTATCATCGAATGCACGGGGTCATCATAGTCCTTATCAGCGAGCCACGGTGCAGATGTCTTTTTACTATCATGTACGCAGTAACCTTCTTATGTTTATTGTGTGGGAACCAATTTTTGTTGAGTGTGTCGACAACCTCTCTTATCCCTTGCTGATTAAATTTTGATTGCAATCGGCTTGAGTACTGTTTCTATGCTTTGTACTGGTGATTGCCCCCAAATGGTTTTTGGTTATTTTTTGAGGAAACGGGTCTTCTGTAACTCCCAGCTATCCTCGCGTGGTTCTTAGCATGAAAGCGACTCGAAGGATTTGTTTATCAAATCGCTTTATTCTTCACAGTGACGATGTGCAGCAGTTTAGCAGGCGCTCTGGTTTCCCAAATCTGCTCTGACAGCCAACGGTGTGTAGTCAGTTCACGAGAAAGTACGAAACTTGTCTCCTG